TTGCTCAGAAAACTTATTTTTTCTGAGTTCTTGATATTGCTAGGTTAGCTATCTGGATTGGTGAGTTGTTACAAGTTGTCTTGTGTAATTGTGCTTTTCCTTTTTTCTTTTATGTTTGTGTTTTCATTTCTAAAAAACTCATTTTAATTATGTGATTTTGAAAAATGTAAATGAGCTTAGTGAATCTTGAAGGAGAGGTTTTTGGTGGGGTTTTTTTTGTTTGTTTTGTGTGTGGAGGGGTGCCTAGGAAAAGTAACTTAACATTTTAGAAAGAAATATAAAGTGAAACTTTTACTTGCTTGTAGTACTTTTTATTTTTAGTTTTTTGTTTATATAAAAAGAATGATTTAAACTTTCTTTAGTGAGAATTTTTGCTATTGTTCAAGCTCTCTTGTCATGCCTATATTTAGTTTTATTGTAAAATGTCTTTTGGCCTCGTTTTTTATTTTTGCAGGAAAATGAAGTAACAAGTTTATTTTTGCAAATATACATGTATATATTAGAAAGTTTCCTGCTTCTAAATGAGGCTCTTATTTTTATTTCCCTTTTTCTTTTTTTTGGACAGAGGTCAATTTTAGTTAATTTAAAAGGGAATATTTTTCTGTTGCCGAAAATTGAATCAAAATTCATTTGCAGTGGAAACAGTGCTAGGCAAGTGAGGAATAAAATCAGTTTTTAAAAGAGAAAAATAATGTTGAGATGCTAGAGTAGAATTTTTAAATAGAAAAACATTGCAGAGGTTTGCAATAAACATTTGATTGATTGTTCCTACTTTGCTTTCTGAAATAAAAGAGCATAGACATGTGGTGTGAAATTCTGCCTTTCTTTTTTTAGGTGCATAGTTTTGAGCTAGTCACAACTGTTCTGAGCCATAGTTTCTTTATTTGGCATTACTGATAATGCCAAAATAAGTGTAGCCATAATTTTAAAAGACCAACTGTATGAAGCACTGGCCCTTACTATGTTCTTGATATATGTTGGGTGTGTTTGTTTTATGTGACACATGTATTCCTAAAGAGCAAAATTTTTAATTGACTACATAACTTTTAAATTTATTGGAGAACCTATTTAAAACAGTCTTTAATGGTACCTATTGTAAAGAAAACTCACTTTCTACTTTCTTAGTTGTTCATAGCAAGTGTTCCTATAATAAGGATTCGTGGCTTTGAGAAAAACATCCTTTTTCGAACAGGCCTTTATAGTTAAGTGCTTAAAAAATGTGAACAGGGTTCAGTAAGGGCCAAATTACCTTTGGGAGTGTTTTTTGTTTTTTGTTTTTCATCTAAAGCAACTGTTAAAAACCGGAGGAGGTATTCTTTAGTTACTGTGTTTCAAAGAGAAAGCCTTCCCCATGACTTCTATCACTTACCACATGCTGAAATTTACTTTCAGATTTGTCAGTTGGTGATAGAACACAAAGAAAGGAATGGTGAGTGTAAGGAGCATTTCAGACGGAGTTTCAGTAATAGGTTTATTTTACTAGCTCATATTTATGACTTGAATTTTTAAAAACTGTGTAGGTTATGAGACTAATACTGTTCTCTAAGACAACCGTATAGGCAAGATCACTTTAGGATCATGGCTTGTCACTGTGGTAACTAAAACTCCCCTTGAGTTGAATTCAAAGGGGAATTGCTTTTATAGTGAGTACCTTTTCTTAACAAAGAATCCTGCTGTAGGGCTCAGTACTCTTGTCCTCTGATATCCACGAATTGGTTCCAGGACCCTTTGTGGATACCAAAATCTCAGGATACTCGAGCTCTTTATATAATTGCATAGTATTTGCATATAAATGTACACATATTCTCCCACGTACTTTAAGTCATCTCTAGGTTACTTATAATAACTAATACAAAGTAAACACTATATAAATAGTTGTCAGTCCATGGCAAATTCAAGTTTTGGTTTTTGGCACTTTCTGTAATTTTTTTTCAAATATGTTCAGTCTGTGATTGGTTGTGTCCACAGAGGCAGAAGCTATGGATGCAGTGGGCTAACTATGTTTCTATATCATTTAGCATTTAGTCTTTAAAACTATATGCTGTAATATATAGGTCTTGTGTATGGATAAATTTATCCCTATGTGTTTCATGTTTTATGATGCTGTTGTAAGTTGTATTGCTTTTTTAAACTCATTTTCCAATTCTTTATTGCTCGTATAAAAATAGTTGATTTTTATACATTGACATTGTATCCTGTAACCACGCTAAAACTCATTTACTAGTTCTGATAAAATTTTTTTGTAGATTACATAGGATTTTCTACATATACCGTCATATAGTGTGCAAAGAAAAAAAAGTTTCACTTCATTCAAATTTTTTCTTGCTTTTTTTGTACTGACAAGAACTTCCAGTACACCACTGAGTAGAAAATGTGAGAGTGAGTACCCTTGTTTTGTTCCAGATCTTAGGAGTGCATTTCCCCATGTGAAAAGTGTGTTTAGGTTTTTCATAGAAGTCTTTTGTCAGAATGAAGAAGTTTCCATCTGTTCTTCTTTTAGTGAAGGTTTTTATTATAAATGCATGTTCGATTTCTCAAGTACTTTTTCTGTATCTGTTGACATGACCTGATGGCATATATCTTTCATTCTATTAATATGGAGAATTATATTGCCTGATATTTGGAAGTTAAACCAACCTTAAACTCATAGGAGAAACCCTACTTAATCATGGTGTACTGTCTTTTTTGAGGATTTTGCATCTTTGTTGATGAGTAACATTTCCTGTAGTTTTCTTTGCTTGTAATACCTTTGTCTGGTTTTAGTAACAAGGTAATGAATTGAGTTGGGAAGGGTTTCCTTCTCTTCTAATTCCTGAAAAAGTTTGTGTAGAAATGGTATTGTTCCTTTTAACTGTTTAATAGAATTTACCAGTGATGGCATTTGGGCTTTGAGTTATATTTTGGGAAGATTTCTAGAAATTAAATTTGTTTAATTGGTATAAAAATTTGGACACAAGGGTCCATATTGTATGATCCCACTCACGTGAAACTCTATAAAAAGTCAAATTTTCTGTAGAGTGACAGAAAACAGGTGAGTGGTTTTTTTGAGGCCTAGGGAGGGGGAGAATAACGGGCAAGGAGGAAAAGGGAATCATTTAGGTTGTTGGAGATACTTCTTGATTGTAGTGGAACTTAGGTGTGTCTGTTGTCAAAAATTACCAAACTGTACTCTTACAACTGGTGTATTTTATTATATGTATCATATGTAAAATTCTGCTCCAGTAAAGGAAGTTTCTTTTTTAGTGCTTATCAAATCTGGCTATACTTCAGAATCATCTGCTAAGCTTTTTCAAATGCACGTTCTTTTACTCTGTGTCATACACAAGGAGTCAATGTCTAGCATTAGGCCTGCTCATGTGAGGTTCTTAAATTCAGAGGTGATTCTGATTTTCAGCAGGACTTTTAGAAACAGTTTTTTTTCCTTGTGTATCTTTTCATTCTTCACACTTATGAGAATGTGTGATAAAGTGAAATTTTAGTTATAATTAGTTATAGTTATTTTAGTTATAATGTCTTTCAGGTATTATTAATTTTTTTCATGTTATTCACATTCCTGCTTTCATTAATGGCTTTAAAAAGAACTTTAAATCTATTTTATTTATTTTGGAAGTTTGCTATTTTTAATAGCATATGTTTACATTGTTAAACTATAAAATGAAAGAAAAATTCCCATTATACCACATTTTTGAGTATATGAAATGAGCAATTGAAACGTCCTATCCAGTCCTCTAGTCTCATACCTCTAATTACTAATAATATGATGCATATTCTTCTAGATATTTTCCTATGCTTATAGAAAACAGACATGATCTAGAATTATAGGGACAAATCTAGTATTATGTTTTTAAATAGTCATATATATTTAAGTAATGTGTTGAGTGCCTGCCCTGCAGCAGCCATTACACTAGATCCAAAGAGCCATCTGCTCTCCTGGGACATTGTCAGGTGGGAGGATAGATATTTATTAAAAACACAAGTATGAATATTAAAATTGTAGGAAGTGTTACAGAAGACAGTTACGGAATGTTGCAAGATTATGTAGTAAAAGTTAAAACGTTTTTTTGATTCTTTCATCCTAGTTCAGATCCATGCTTTGAAAAGTTTGCTTTTTCAAAAGCATTTAGTACTGCTTGGGTAGTATGAGTATGCATTGAATGAAACATCTTACACATGGAATCCTCTTACCAAAGTATTAGTTTTCCTCTTATTGTTAGTCTGCATTTTGGTATTAGTTTAAAGTACTAAGAAATCTTAAGTATTTAACTTAAGTAACAAAAAATTGAAAGAAAAAATTCACTCAGCAAATATAAGTACCCCCCTGAGTGCTGGTCTGTAATTGTCACTCAGTGGAGTGCTATACAAAGTTTTGTTACTAAAATAACAATAACAATTTGAAAATAGCAATTTGTTCTGGCAGCATATTTTTGGTGGTATCAGATAGGTTATTACTGTTGGAATGTGTCAAACATTACACAAACTGTATTACACAAAATTCTAATTGTGCTTTTAAATACATAACACAAAATAGTAATTGTATTTAATATTAATGGAGAGTACATAGGATGGAAGTTTTGTGCTCATATTAGTTTAGGAAATGGAGGGCCAAATTAAACATTTTTAGCTCTAGGTATTTTCAGAACCTTTAATACGTTGCATTCTGAATCTTTAAGATGGAGCTATAGTACACAGAGACTTTCTTTTTGATCATGGAACCCTTTCCTCTTGTGTTACATTTCTGTGAATAGATATTTAAGGAAAGAAGTCAATCTCCAGTTGCATCTAAAAAACCATAGTGGCATATTTTAAAGATGCATGATAATTTTAATGTAAAAGCATTATTGTTTGATATGATTTTGTCTCTTGTAAGCACAGATCTGTATTTTATATTTATGTGCTGGACTTTGGGGAATTAATTTATATGTAATGAAAGAATCAACTCTCCATTCTTGTATCCTTAATTGGGAGAGAAAAGTCAAATTTATGTTTCTCTTATATTTCAGAACAAAGTAGAAGAGATGACTTAGAAGCTTTAGGTCATATGTTCATGTATTTTCTGAGAGGCAGTCTTCCTTGGCAAGGTTTAAAGGTAATTGTTTTTGTGCCTTATTGAATTTCATCAATTGTTAATATATTAAGATCCTCTCTTCCAAGTATCTAATTTTAAAATTATTTCTCAAGATTTTTTTTTCCATTTTGTTTTTAGGCTGACACATTAAAAGAGAGGTATCAGAAAATCGGTGATACGAAACGAGCCACACCAATAGAAGTGTTATGTGAAAATTTTCCAGGTAATGAATAATGTTACATTGATGCATGCGCTTCAAACCAGAACTGTTCATTTTCATTGCTCAAGTTTATATAAACTATTCTTCATGCTTAAAAAATATTATTTAAAAGACGTCAGTATTTGATACATAGACCACAATGATAATTTGTATATTTGCTTTGTTAGATGGTATTAATAGAAGAAAGTCCATCTTACAAAAATGTTGACCAGTACCAGCTAAAGTAATATTTTCTTCAATGACATGCTTTTAATAAGTTAAAATATTTGCTCAGAAATAACAACTATAAAGCTTTAGTGTACAGTATTAGTCTTGTGAGTCTCAATGTCAACCTCAAAGGGGTGATGTTATGATTTAGTCCAGTTTTCCAAGTGCAGTATAATCTTAGTAACCTTACTACTTTTAGGCTAATTTTGTTTTTCGTATCTCACTTCGATATTTAACAGGTTCTCCTGTACATTGTTGGCATTATTATTGTAATAAGTATCAGCAGCATAATCACAGGTGGCCCTTTTTCAAGCTTGCTTATATTATTCATTGACAGCAGACTTTAATTATACATGTTTCTTTCTTGCTATAGCCTAGAACTGGAAAATTAAAAATATGTATTGGTTGATAGTACTCGCAGTTTAGAAGTAGGCAGATGGGCTGCCTTTTATTAAGAAGCCTATACAGATTTCTGCAGGAAAAATGGGGGTGCCAGAGTAGCTTAGCCAGGTGATTAGCTAGAAAGTAGAACAGTGGGAGAGTCACCATGTGACTGAGTCAGTGGGTGCCACTTTCATGCCTGTTGGGCTGTGTGTGATCCTGTTCTTACCGGCTACTGTCAATAAATTGGGTCAGAAAAGCAGCTATGTGTAACCTACTGTCTCACTACAGTGCTTTTCTGTGCTCTTATGGTGAAACACTGTTTTACTAATTGATCACCATTTTGCTTATTGATTTTTATGGCTTTCTATTTCTTTCACTTCTGGAAAGTTTGACCTTTAAAAAAATACATATCTCTAATATATTTGGGAATTACAATAGCATGCAAAAGTTTATGTATTACCAAATAATTGTTAACTTTATGACCAGGAATTAGGAGAAGAATTAAAATGTGCTTCTGTGTTATATTTCTGAGATCTGTTTTAGCTTTGTGTTACTAGATTAGTTGATTAGAAAAATACTCTTCATAGCCAAGGTTAGGAATTAGAATTCTCTATTGGTCAGCTAGTGTATGTCACTGATTCTAAAGGAAATTCAGCAGGCTAGTGCAAATGCTTTCATATATAATTCAGTTCTCACCAATGTTAAAAATAATTTTAAAAAATAATGAGCTGAGTATGGTGTTTTGTTATTAAACAGTTATGCTTTAAGTTGCTATTTCAACCTCAAATACTATCCAAAGCTTCTATTAATAATATTGTAAAATAAAAATTTTATTCTTTCTTAATGAAATGAAGCAAAAATAATGTTTGTTAAATCTCTTGTTTCTCTTTTCTTCCTATTTCCTTTCTTCCCTTCTTTTCCCCTTTTTAATTTCATTGTAATTAAATTCATAATATTTTAGTTTTTAGTTGAATTTTGCTTTTTCATGTTTTTATAACACTATATACTTTTAAATAGTTGTAATTTTATTATTAATGACTATATAGGAAAGTTTAATCAGAACAATTTTTATTTCCTTTCTAGAAGAAATGGCAACATATCTTCGTTATGTAAGAAGGCTAGATTTTTTTGAAAAACCAGACTATGACTACCTAAGAAAGCTTTTTACTGACTTGTTTGATCGAAAAGGGTATATGTTTGATTATGAGTATGACTGGATTGGTAAACAGTTGGTGAGTTCTTTATGCTGTATAATAAAAATCAGATTATTTGTAGTAACTTCTTTTTCACAGTACAGATCCTTCAGTTAGAAAGAATTGAGAACAAATAATTTTTTATTTTGAAGTTTAGTTGATTTACAATATTATATTAGTTTCAGGTATATAACATAGTGATTCAGTATTTTTATAGATTATACTCTGTTTAACATTATTACAATAAAATAGCTACATTCCCCTGTGCTGTATGATATATCATTGTTGCTTATTTATTTTATACATAGTAGTTTGTCTCTTAATCCCATATCCCTGTCTTTCCCCTACCCCCTTACCTCTCCTCACTGGTAGCCACTAGTTTGTTCTCTATATCTGTGTGTCTGTTTCTGTTTTGTTGTGTACATTAATTGGTTTTTTGGGATATTTTTGGATTCCATATGTT